GAAAAACCGGTGGGCTCTTCGAGCCACAGAGCTCAAGCCAACCGGCCTTGCTACAAGCAGTTTGCTGCTCTTCACGTGGCCGGACTCGGCTCACGTTGGCACTCTGTGTAGGACATTGGATGGATTTGCAATATACCCATGAGTCTGCTCTGGCACCCCAATCAGGGCCATTTCTTTGTTCTGCCGTCAAGTAGCGTGTTTTGACGTGTTTGTTGACTGGCAGAGTGGCAGGGTTTATCTGTACCTGGAATACAGCCAAGGATTTTTCGTCCAGTAGTTGGCAGAGTAAGTCCCGGGCTATGCCTCAGCATTGATGCGAGAGCCTGTGTAGCATCCGATAGCTCTCTCAGTTCTTTAGGGTATCCTTTGCCTGGCACTTCAGCTTGGCCTGGCGCCGCGAAGATATCGTCACGTTGCTTACAGGCCAGCACTGGTGCACTACCTAGGCACGGGACATCCTTACCACTTTATGCAGCGTATGTTTTCCATGCATCGTCGGCAAGCTCGCGCGCCAGTACATGTTGGGGCCGTTTGGTCAGCATGTCTGGTTGTTCACTGCTGATCACTACTCGGGTCAGAGCCGGTGGTCTTAGAGGGTGCTTCACAGCTGGATTGTGGCGTCTCGTTTCTGGAGATCATGTACTGCGTGGGCTTCATCCGTGTCTGGCATGTTTTGGTACTTCTGGAGCGCCTCCTGCGTTGCCTCCCTACCATTGGACCGGCGTTTGCGGCTCCCGACGAGCGGCCATTGGGGTCTGCTCCGTGGCGCTCTCATTTTTCTCTGTCGCGCTCCGCCCTGTTCCAGTCTCAGCCCTGGACCGAGAGCTTGGGGCCTGCACTGCGTCCGTGGATGCAGGTGTGGGCGCGGGAGGCGACGCACCGTATCGCGGCTTCTCGCTCGCTGAAAGGACTGCCTGCAGTGAAACGTATGGCCGCGGGTGCGGTTCCAAATCTGCCTCTGGGTTTAGTGATCTGCTGAGGGTCATGCCTGAGCATTAGCAGCTCGGCGCTCAGGCTGTCTCAATTCAGGCCTGAGGGGGCCAGAGCTGTCTCCTGCTTAGTCCAGCACCACTTCATGACACATGCAAGCCAGACCGGGCCTATCATGAGACTCTGACAGCAGAAACAGTCTCGCACTGAAGCTAGGACCTGAGGTCACGAGCAATGGGCGCAGAGAAGTGCTCCAGCCTATGGCAACGTCGCATCTGAATTCATCGCATTTTTTCTGACTTAGCGGAGTTGGAAGAGTGAACCTTCAATGCCAAGACTTGTTCTAGCAGTCTAGGCCGACTCAGAAGGCGACGTGGGGCCGGATGTCGGCATGGAACCCAAAAAGCCATTTACTGGTGCCGGTGCTCCGTCACGGTTGGTGCCAATAGCGACACTGGTGGTGGGGGTGGTCTGTGTGGGGGAACGCCGTCGCCGCTGTCGTGGTGGCTGCAGAGAAAGGAGACGCCCCCAGCGGTGGGGGCAGGAAGGGGGTTGAAAGTTGCTCATAGGACAACCACGTACCCGGGAATATGTAGTTGAAATCTGGGTCCACTGAAGAAGGCTAAGTTGGGCGCCGCCGGAGCGGATGCCATAGCTGGTGTCAATGCCGGCGCCGTAGATGTTGGTGGAAAAGCCATGGGGCAGCCGGCTTTGGCAACACCTGGTGCAAGGTAGCAGGTGCTGTTTGTGGTGCATACGCCGCCGGGGGTTGAGGGAGGGGGCCTGCCGGAGGCCTGATTGGCATCCCTCCTGCACCGCTAGCCAACACTAGCGAGTTCAACTTCTTCAGCCCTCGTTTCAGCCGTAGGCTACTGCTCCTGCCTTTGGCGATAATGGAACAGACCACCTGGTTATCAATCAAATGCAAAACTCGGCAGCGTCCATTTGTAGACTTTCTCAACCTCCACTTGAGCCCGTTACGCACAGCCTGCAGTTCAAGAACATTAATATGTGCCGAGTGTTTCCAGGAATAACCATGGACCACAGACCAATGAAACGATGATGAGTTGATTCCAGCTCTCGGCCAGGCTTTGGCTCTGAAGGGTATTCCAACATCAAGTCTAACATCAGACCCACTCTTTTCAGCTTGTCGACAAAAGTGTTGTACGACTTGTTGAGCCTCGAGTGTATTTCTGGATCCTTCAACAAACCGCGGATAAAGGAGCCATGAGGGTGGAGCGACAGTAATTTGCCGAACAAGTTTGTAATGGTCACGGGCTTCCCTAACGCCAAACAATGACAGCAAGGAATGACAAAGCATGACCAGCACGTGAACACATTGGGCCTTTCCCAACATCCTACCGCCGAGCATGAACTTTTCCTCGTGACTCATCTTGTGCGGCAAAGTTCCCTCAATACACCCTTTATCGAAACTCATCAGAACCTCACGCTCGCATAAGGAAGGCAATCTCAAAATACCATCTGGGCTTACGATCATGTTCACAGCCTCATAGTTTGCAACTGGTAGACGAAAGTCATCCGCCTTCCAGCGCTCCACCGCCGCGGTTGAGGCCTCTGCGAGTCCCAATGCCTCAGCAGGGGGTTTGGAACGACTTTGAGGCTGTGTAAGACAAGGCAACCACCCGTCATCGGGGCCGTTCCATTTGCAATTTTGTTCTAGCCAGCATTCTGCTCGGTCCCGACATAAGGGAAAAAGCCCACTCGATATGGGATGTAAGTTGCCCAACTCTCTCCCCCTGTTGCGGCACACGCATCCATGAGCACCAGGAACAACGAGAACGGAGGCACCATGTGAACCGTTTGGCATCGATGAAGACGGGCTTTGCTTGTAAGGTGAAGTTGAACCATGCATAGTCTGGTTCACTGAGGGTGCAACATTCTCGACGAAATAATGCACCGGCACCGAAAAGAGGGATTTCAAAAGCCGAATAACCCGCATCAGCTCAGAAAACAGTCTTGCCTCGTGTGAGTCAGTGGCATGGGCCCCTCGTTGATAAGGACAACTTGCTCCCACTATAACGAGGTCCAAGTGATTCGCGAATGATTTTTGCAAACGCTCAACCAATTTTTCATCCACGTTGGACATAGAACCCAACTCAATGATTCCAGGCCAACGCCTGCGTATCACTCGCTTCATTTCCCGGTTGATTTCGCAGCTTGCATAGCCCACCACTTGACACGGCAAACGACTTAACGCTACCATCAAGGAGCCTATGTCATTGAAAAACGACATCACAAGCACACGTGGCCCCACACCACCTTTGACATCGACTGCACCAGCCGGCCGAAATTGTTGTGTATCGCCCTTGTTTAACTGTCTGAGCATACACAACCCCTCATCAGTGAGTCCCGCGGAAGCACATACTTGCAGGCCAGCACCTGTCCAGTAACGAAAGAAGTGGACGCCGAAACTCGAAACACCTCACGAACTGGCCCAGAGGCATAAGAAAAGGCTTGACACCAACATAGACCTGAACATAAAAGCCAAATGCACAACCAGCCAGTTTCCAAGATCTTCTCAGAAGGGGGCCCAATGTAACCCAACACTCCATCAATCTCTGCTCCCATGCGCACAACTCGAGGCTCACGCACATGCGATTTATCCTCAGAGACCTCCACACCAACATGTTTATAGGCCTGCTTTTGTTTGCTATGTGCGGTAGAAACAGTACCTTGAACGCGTTTCCAAACATCTTTGTCAACAAGTTCAGGGCAATCAAAGTCATCAAGATAAAGCTGGACCCAACCACCATCCTCTGTGACCGCGGAGCTCGGGATCGGGCGATCTCTTCTCCACTCGATCTCCGCGCTGTGGCCTGCACCACCCGGCGGGATACCAAGGCCGAGTCTCTCGGTATCACCGCAGCTGCAACGTAAACCTCTTTTTCATTTGGCAACCCCACCAAAGCCCCCGGAACGGGCCATCGGAAAGCCATAAACTTTCGCCAGGCAGGAGGTAGGGCCCACGCGTAATAAGCTCCTTTCTGATCTTCGCCCGACCATAGCAACACCTGATTCGGGCGTAGATGGGCCCCCACCCACGTGGATGCACTGGATAAAGTAGCTAAATCTCCTGGCATCAATCGTTGTAAAGAGTTGCTCGGAATCATGTTCATGATGAGACGCGTGACTCTAACTTCACCTTCAGCAGGAGTGCCCTTCTTCGGTACAGCGAAAGCACCGTTCAACAATAAAGATCCTCGCACACGAAATATTTCTGATTTCGGGATCGTGTTAAAATTCGGGGTTCACTAAACATTCCTACCCAAAACAACTGCGGCTCACTTTTGACTGCACCGCTCGGTGTTGTCCGGGTTCCTTGAGCCTGCACATTTCGGCATCAAGGAGTCGTTCCTATACACAGCAAATACAGTGTTCCTATACTGCGGTACTGTTTAACAGATTCCCAGAAGAGGCGCCTCAAACAGGAAAGCTGGCCCGCCTCCGGCTCACCGGGCAATGATGAAGTGAGGAGCTCGACCAGCGGGCTCTCGTCCGCACGTCCTGGCTGGTAAGGGATGCTGAATGCAAACTGCCCGAAAGTCTTGAAGCCGGAGGCTATCAAAGAATCAATGTTGGATGCGGTCACCCCCAGCTGAAGGGCTCGTCGCTTGAACTCAACCTCGGAGTCCAACTCCGAAGTTGCCATGGCCCCAAACCTAGAGTGACCCTGTGAACCGGTTGGCTTCAGCCAATGAATGTCAGAAGGTCTCAACAGCGATGACATAGTCTAGGTGCGGATGCTGCTGAATTAAAAGAGCGTAGCATGGGCTCCGATTCGCACACGTATGCGAGGCCCACGACCTCATGGGAGCATCGTTTCTGCCACGTGGCAGAGCTCCGCTGTATTTGCCGGGAAACGAAGTTCCCCCGATGGCGAAATAAACATTAGTAAACCAGGAAACGATACGATGCGGGCCGTTCGCATCAGCGCACGGTTGCTGAGACCCATTAATGCCGATGTCCACACGAAGATAGGTAGACGTCGATTGCAGAAAGGACTGCAGAAGCCAGAACGCGTGCTTTTAGTCTTGACTGCCGCTCCCGAATCAGTCTCTCGAAAAGACTACACTGCAGTGTTTGCATGCCTGCAGATCACCCTCCTGCGCAGCCACATCTACCACACAGGAGTAATGACCATTCAGGGCCCGGCCACACAAAAGTTTTCGCAAGTCGAGGCTCGCGTGCATGATACCTGAAATGTTGTGCACATACAAGTGCTCCCGAGGAACGTTCGATAAGGCCTCAGGGATCACGATGGAACCCACTCCCGCGTGAGGAGCGAAATCTGTCGAAGGATCGATGCCCTCTAGGTCGGGGTCCGACCCGGACTCGGAAGGGGCGTAGACCCCTGGCTCTTTCTCGTCCTCGGCACCTGAGACTTCCCCCAGCAGCTCCATTACGCGTCGAGCCCGGCTCCTATCAGGCGAGAAGGTCCCATCTAGAATCCTGTCAAGAAGACGCCGAGTCTGCATGGCAAGGGGCGTGTAGCTGTCTCGACTGTAGATAAGAACCGAGCGTGACTCCCTGTCGAAGTGATGGCCCATAAGTTTCTGATTCTGCTCCGTCCAACCTCCAAGCTTGCTTATCCAAGAAAGAAGTGTAGCTTTGAGGCCGTGGCTGGTGATGTTGTCGACGTCTCCGACGGCAGAGCCTGATTTACAGAGCAGATCCCTGAGCCAGAGAGTAGCTTCCGTAGATGACATAGGCAAACTGCCGAAGGTGCTCGTCCTCTCGCAATAAGTCGGCAGCGAAGGACCTGTGCTGCCAAGGCCGAAGTGCTCACGAGAGGCGAGCCACGAGTTCGCCCAGACAAGCCCCGCCCTAGGCAAATCAAAGGAAGCAGCAAAGACTTGTCATGAGCCACATGCGAAGTTTTGTGCTTTGAAGTCGCAGTTTCAACCAGAGAGATCCGCCCGGCTTGGGAGAGCTCGATGTTTGTCAAATGAAGAGAATCATCCCACCGGGCGCAAGCATACAAAGCAAAGAGCATCTGACCTCCTATCAAGGAATCCACGCTGGGGCAGGACTCGACCACGAGCTGCTCTAAGGCCCACACCTAATCCGAGATAAGAACCTGAGACTGCTTGGTGGGCTGCTTTCGACCCAGCTCTCCACGAGCGAGGCCCTCACACCGCGCGGAGAAGGAAACCTCCTTGGGGAGGCCTTTGATCTTAATCACTCCATGCAGAAACCTTGTTGCAGACAAAAGTGAAGAAGCAGCAGTGGCCCCACGGTTCGCCTCCCGAATCTTGTTAAGAAACTCATACAAGAGCTCCTCTCGGAATTCCAAAGGAGGAACTCCCCGATCATTGAGGAAGGAGCAGAAGCTCCAAAGCGAGGAGACTCTCTTGATCAAGGTCCCCGTGCTCTTCCCCATAAAGGCATCCCGAAAGCTGCGGCAACGATATCCTCGTCCTGAAGGGCCCCGGCCGCACTGACCAAAGCACCTCCAAGTTCTGATAGTCCTGCAACACGATGGTCCTAAGTTTGCGGAGCTGTTGGGTCCTGATCTCAGATTCGTCGCGATGAAGGGTGCCAAGACGAAGCCTCTTCTTGACAAAGTCTGGATAAGCATGCTTGATCGAAGCCACGGGAGCCGAAATCGCAGGCTGAGACGAAGGCACGAAGAGGTCTCCTAGTCCTACAGCATGGTGCCGATGTTGCAGCTTAAGGTGAGCCGGCTGAGAGGCCCATATACCTTGTTCCCACGGGAGTTTCATCGAGTCCTCTGCCAGACCACGACTAATAGCCGAAGCCAGAAAGTTCTCATAAGACATCCTCTGCCCATGACTGAAATCAGTGTCCGAGACAGGCTGGCCCGAAGAACCAGATGCATGGGGCAAAGGGTCAATAAGCAAGTCAGAACCCAGCACAGGCAAGGGAGTGCTCGAAGGCTTAGCCCAAGACCCGTCGTAGTCACCAAAGGGCTCGGGCGAGCATGCCGAAATTCCCCCCGCAGACTCAGGCGATCCCGGCCCGTTAGACATCTCGGCGCTGATGCCCGACGAGCACAGGAAGTCGGTGACTATCCGCAGAGCCAGCCACAAAAGCGCTAGCAGCAAATGTTCAGAATATTCAAAAGACGAGGCCGCCAGGGCTGAGATCGCAGCTGGTTCAAGAAAAGTCAGCACTTCGCAGAAAATGGACGGCTGAAGAACGCACCAAAGCTCGTCGACAATGCTGGAATTCTGAGTATCAGCAGTAGACACAGAATCTGTGTCGAAGTCAAAATCAGCCGCAGGCGCGCCGTCGCCCATGAAAGAAAAGCTAACACGTTACAGGGCCCACCCCTCTTCGAAGAAAGCTTGAGGGGAAAGCCATGTACGGGCCCTACCGATAATCTTATGCAAAACGAATGCAGGATCATGTGACAAACTAAGATTATGCATGCATTGTAAATCTTCCGACATGTCGAATCTCACAAAACGACCTGAGAACATGAGTGATTTGAGGGAATGTTGCATGTGTTTGACAAATGTCAAGGCAACATTGTGTAGGGAAAACCGCTCCTGGCCCTCGCTGCCCCACCCAAAGAAAGGTATAACAACTCCGTTGACGCTGACCATGACGCGATCTGTCTTACTGACAGTCGCAAGCTTGGCCGTGATGTTATTTTTCTCACCGGATGCTGAGTTCTTTCTATGAAGGTCGATAAGAACGGTTACTTTTCCAAGCTCAAAGCACCTTGGGTCTGTCGCGGGTTTCAGGAGAAGCTTGCCTGGGACCAACAAACGGACAGTCCGACCGCGACTCGGTATGGTTTCCGTTTGGTTGCTCAGTGTGCAGCCAATCATTACTGGGACCTTTTTCACCTCCATCTCAAGCCCGCCTTTCTTCAGGGGGAACACTACAATCTGTCACGAATGGTTGTTGTTCACTTGTCCCGGACATCGGCTTGCCACCTTGGATGGTCGGTCTGTGCCTTCGTCCGGTCTATGGCCTGAACGATGCACCTCGAAGATGGTGGAAGCGCTTGGATAAGTTCCTCCGATCAGTTGGACTTGGGCCGACTCGAGCTGACCGATGCACTTATGACACTTATGTCGCATACGACGGCACTCAGGAGAGGGAACCTGAACCAGAACCACCTGGTTATCTTAAGGAGATCGTCCTTCATGCCATGTCATGCTACACATACGATGAAGCAAGCCGGGCTGCCTCCGACGGTGCAGAGGAGAGATCCTACATGTCTTGCCCGGATATCGCTCAGTGCTTTAACACCGAAACAAAGAAGATGGTCGACTATGCTTGGAGACTTGTGGCCGATCAGAAGCTTCTGGGTTTCTTGGGCGGTGTCGTGTGTAAGAAGGGGCTGCTTTCCACATGAGAATGGCCATGCACTGGTTTCTCATAAAGCCAAAGCTCTCAGAGGTCCTGAGTCTATTAAGAAGGTTAAGGACTATCCTTACCGCGCTTCGATGAGGGAGGATCTACAGGAAGTTGCAGGGACATAGACCAGATCTCCAATATGCGTGGTCGCCAGAGCAGCTGGGCAATCAGGTCGTCTAAGGCCTTGTCTGGCTTGTTGCGACACAACCAGCGACTCCGGCTCGGCGCGCGTCCACTCGTCCGTAAACAGTGTCCCCTGCCTCGTAGGCATACGGAGTGGTACCCTCTGTGGCAGTAGACCTCAAGGCCGCCTCCTTGATTTCATCCTCACGAAAAGGGCTTCCTCGTCAATGTCGTCAACAACAGGCACCTCTCCAGATGGCGAGCCTTTTGCAGGGAAAGACGAGTCGGCGGCATGGTGTTCTGGCGAACCTCTTTGCTGCCAGTGGGTACCTCTCCTGGAGGAATGCCCTCGTCGTTCAATTTTCCAACATACGCTTATACTGTGGAGAGGCCGGTGACACCTCGTGTCCAGGCAATGAAAGCGCAATCCTCCTAGGTTCTAGCGATGAGACATCTGGAACATCTTCTTGACTGGGGAACAGCTCCCTTCCTTCTTGCTCTGGGAGAAGTTCTCCTGGCTCCGAAGGAGCGTACTCATGAAGATCCGGGTCATCTTCGGGAGCCTGAGCAGGAGCTGCTTTCTTGGGTACCAATCCTAGTGGATCGCCTCCCTCGAAGCGAACTCTTCTCTTTGCCGGTTCCTTCCCAGGAGGGAAGCTTCCGGTGGCTCCTCGTTCTTTTGAGCTGTCTTCAGGCTTGCCCTTGCTGACTACATCATCGGGAGATCCAACCTTCGAACGAGCAGGATCCCCGAGACTTAGCCGAAACAGAAGTTCTACTCTCGATACCTCCAGCAAAATCCTAAAGACTGTCCTACCTCTCCAAGACTCAGAGGTCCTTGTGGTATGACGATCAGTAGACCTCCATTCATCTTCTTGAATTACGACTCTGTCCTTGGCAAACTCCATGATCGTTTTCCTAGCGGTGACCAGAAACTCCAACGGAACGGGCGTGCGTCGATTATTTGGGTCGTACTTGACTTTCCTCATCTTCCTGTGCACGCGGATGCGGATCAGCTCCATTGTGTTCTCGTCGATCATCCACTCATCATCCGTCGCAAAGACGAGATTGTCGGGTTTCTCTTCTAATGAAGAGCTTCCCTGGGCCTTTTGACGAAACCCGTACTCGTAATGCAAGAAGTATGTGAGGAAACTCGACTTCTTGGATTTGCCGAACCGCACGTGCCACATGTACTTGCTGAGGTCAAGAAGATCAAGTACCAGATGCGAGCTAGGTGCTACCTTAAGCTCCACATTCTGAACTCCCAGTACTGGACTGCTCAAGTAAGCCTTGCCCGCGGTTGGAGGTCGAATTGAAACCTTAGATTGCGCATCTGAGACAAGGACATCAAGGTCGGTACGTGGCCCTGCTCAACGATGTCAAACTCGGTGGACTGGACTGAATACTCCCGGTCGTACATGCAAAACATCAGCTTCTGCTTGCACTTTGTCGACTCGGAATTGGCAAAGGTGAACTGAGACTGGGTCTCAGCTGTGTGGTACCAAAAAACCATCGAGGTAGGAGTCAAGGGTTGCGTGATGAAGGCTTCGTGATTTTCGGTGGCCATGAAGGAAAGGTTGCAGAAGCTCGACTGGTCAACGAAGAAAGTGGTCGCGGCAGTAGTTGAAGTACTGCTCTGGGCAGAAGGCAAGTTGCGCTGCTCCAGCCCTTGGAGCCTACTTTCCATCTTTGCCATCTTTTCCATACTTGGTTTTTTCCTTTGCCTTTCTTACCTTTCTTTCCTTTGCCCTTGGCTGCATAGG